ATTTTCCTACAGATGGATACTCAGTCAATCTTGTACTAAAGTCGCGGACTTCAGATTACTCAACAAACATAACTGCTCTTGTCGCTCAAACGATTACTGGAACTTCAGTATTGAGCGATGTTATGCTCATCGAAGCAGGGCTTTTCTTCGAACTCATTTGTGTGGGGCAGATAAAGTTGTCACCTGTGTTACTCGTTCCTCAAAAAACTCGACTTGATGTATTTTATCTGGTGGTTGGCAGTAAACCCCTCAACTGTCAACATTTATTGTAAGCCAAAGATCATCTAGTGGAATTGATGGGAAATTGAAAATGTTCAAGAACCAATTACCAAAACTTCTAAAGAAGACCTCGAGTGTGAGGAACATTTCAAAAATAATTATTCACGTTTAGGATATGGCGAGTTTCGGTTCATTTACCCATTAAGAGCAGCTTGGACATACTTGGTGATTCATATTTAGCTGCTAGTCGCAGATTCGAGAATATGGAACGCAAACTCAACAAAGTTGCTAATTGTTTTTGACGGTTCTGCGGCCACAACTTCAGGGTTATCTCTTAATGACATACTCATGACTGGCCCTACCATTCATCCTAAACTTTTCAACATTCTTGTTCGTTTACGTACCTTTTGTGTTCGCGTAACATCTCCAGATAATATGCTTCAGTGCATACTTTGGCAAGATTCCTCAGAAGAAAAATTACGTATATTTACAAGTTAGATACGGTCACATACGGCACCAAGCCTGCTGCGTTCTAAGCTATACGTATTATGTATCAGCTAGCATTAGATGAGTCTTCATCCTATCCGCTTGGTTCAGAAATCGCTCTTCACGATTTCTACGTAGATGATCTTATCTCCGGAGGAAGTCCGGTAGAGGAAGTAAAACAAATCAGGCAACAAACTACAAACCTACTTTCTGAAGGTCGTTTTCAGTTAAGAAAGTGGTGCTCTAACAACTCAGATGTTCTCAGTAAAATGCCTGTTGCTGATGGAGAAAGTTTTCTTAGTTTCGATGAATCCAGCGATATTGTCAAAACTCTCGGACTTGTCTGGAATCCATTGAAGGATGTCTTTTTGTTTGAATGTAAACCTCAGCAAACAACGAAAAAATGTTCCAAGTGTTACGTATTGTCTGCCATAGCACGCTTCTATGACCCATTAGGTCTGATTGGTCCCACACTTACTATATATAAAATTCTGTTGCAAAGGATGTGGAGAGACAAGCTCGATTGGGATGAAAGTTTACCACTTTCCATATGCACAGCTTGGTTAACATTTTGTAACGATTTTGTTGATCTTCAACGCACATCATTTCCGCGCTATGTTCTTCAGCCTGGCGCTACTGTTCAAATACATGCATTTTGTGATGCCAGCCTAGAAGCATACGAAGCTTGTGTTTACGTTCGTTCAATTAAGGATGACAACATTAAAGTTCACTTGTTGTGCTCCAAGGCTCGTGTCGCCCCTCTTAAAAAGCTGACCGTGCCCAAATTAGAGCTTTGTGAGGACGCTTAACTAGCACAATTATTATCTGAATTAAGAAAAGTTAATATATTTGATTGTTCTTATTATTGTTGGTCGCATTCGTCAGTGCCTCTCTCATGGCTGCGAGAGGAACCCTCAAAGTTCAACGTATTTGTTGCCAATCGAATTAGCGCTATATAATAATTAACTGAAGGCATGCAGTAGCGTTACTTTCCCACCTCCATGAATTCAGCTGACATCCTATCAAAAGGCGCTACACCAAACGAGCTCTTAACCCTAGAACCATAATATGCGTAAATTTTACGCATATACAATTTTCAAATTGTGTTTG